ATAAAACCAACCACACTGAACCTCATAGAAGAGAAAGTGGGATGTACATTTGAATGCGTTGGCATAGGAAACAACTTCCTGAATATACCCCCGGTAGCATAGACACTGAAAGCAAAAATTAATAAATGGGACCTCCTGAAACTGAGAAGGTTCTGTAAAGCAAAGGTTATGGTAAACAAGACAAAATGGCAGCCTACAGAATGGTGAAAGATCTTCATTAACCCCACATCAGACAGAGGTCTGATCTCCAAAATATACAAAGAACTCAAAAAATTGGTCATCAAATGAACAAATAATCCAATAAAAAATGGGGTACAGATCTAAACAGAGAACTCTCAACAGATGAATCTAAAATGGCTGAAAAACACTTAAGGAAATGCTCAACATCCTTAGTCATCAGAGAAATGCAAATCAGAACAATTTTGAGATTCCATCTTACACCTGTCAGAATGGCCAAGATCAAAAACACTGATGACAACTTATGCTGGAGGAGATGGATGTAGAGTAAAGGGAACACTCCTCCATTGCTGGTGAGAATGCAAACTGGTACAGCCCCTTTGGATGTCAGTATGGTGATTCCTCAGAAAATTAGGAAACAACCTTCCTCAAGACCCAGCAATACTACTTTTGGTTATATATCCAAAGGATGCTCAATCATGCCACAAGGACATGTCTTCAACTATGTTCATAGCAGCATTGCTTGTCATATCCAGAACCGGGAAACAACCTAAATACCCCTTGACCGAAGAATGGATAAGGAAAATGTGGTACATTTATGCAATGGAGTACTACACAGCAGAAAAAGATGATATATTGAAATTTGCTGGCAAATGGATTGATCTAGAAAACATCATATTGAGTGAGGTAACCCAGACCCAGAATATATGTTCTCATTCTTGAGTGGCTTTTTAGACACAAAGCAAAGAAAAAACAGCCTACAATTCACAATCCCAGACAACTTAGACAACAAAGAGGACCCTAAGAGAGACATACACGGATCTAATGTACATGGGAAGTAGAAATAGACAAGACCTCCTGAGTAAATTGGGAGCATGTGAATTATGGGAGAGAGTAGAAGGGGAGGGGAGAGCAAGGAAGGGGAGCAGAGAAAAATATATAGCTCAATAAAAACAATTTTTAAAAAACAAACAAATCCCTAGTATCCATGTAAAAGCCAGGCTGGATGTATCCACCTGCAGACCCAGTATTGTTGAAATCAGGAACAGAACTGCTGGGGCTTGCTGGCTTCCAACCTACCTCCAGGGTCAATGAAAGCCCTGCCTCAAAGGTATAAAGCTAAACACGATAGAGCAGGACTCCTGGCATCTTCCTTTGGCCTCAGAATACAGACATAAGCACCTGCACATATCTGAGTGCATACACAAAGCACACACACACACACACACACACACACACAAACACACACACACAAAACCAGGAACAGACTTATCCCCAAGTGACAAGTGTCTGTAAACCCAGCACTAGAGAGTCATGGGCAGTAGGACAATGACTCCTGCAAGTTATTCTCTGACCTCCACAGGCATGCTGTGACAGAGAGAGAGACAGACAGACAGAGAGAGAGAGAGAGAGAGACAGAGAGACAGAGAGACAGAGACAGAGAGAGACAGAGAGAGAGAGACAGAGAGAATAAAAGGGAGGGGAAGGAAGCAAAAGGGAGCGAATGGAGGGATGGAAGGAGGGAGGGAGAGTGGGAGAAGAGGAGAAAGAAAGAGATATAGGGAGAGAGGTTAAACAAGAAAGAAGCGGGACTGTAGAGGAGTCTCAGCAGTTAAAAGCACTGATTGCTCTTGCATGAAGACTGGGGTTTGGTTCCCAGCACCCACACGACATCCATAGCCGTCTGTTGACACCAGATCCATGGGATCCAGTACTTCTCTTCTGGCCTTCACAGTCTCCAAGTACATGTGTAGTTTTGGGCCTTGCTGGCCTCCTGCTTGGCCCCAGGTTCGGTGAGAGACCCTGTCTTAAGAGAACACGGCTGTACATGTAGAGCAGGACGCGTCTGGCTTTAGAATACAGACGTGTGCACCTCTACACATCTGGCCCCATGCACACCCACACTGGCATCTTCCTCTGGCTTCAGAATACAGACGTGTGCACCTCTACACATCTGGCCCCATGCACACACACACATTGGCATCTTCATCCAGCTTCAGAATATAGACATATGCATGTGTACACATCTGCCTCCACGCACGCACACACTCAGAAAAATACACAAACAGATAAACCTTAAAAAAAACTTTTAAAAATAAAACAGAAAAGACAAGCTAAAGGCAGACTAAATAATTATATAAAGCTTGCCAGAGGGATTGAGAGTTGGATTTAAAATCTTCACCTAGTATCACGTGTTTCAAAAAAAAAAAAATCTTGTACAAAAAGAACCACCTTCTTTCCTTTCCCGTTGCTTTTCACATTTAAGGAGTAAAATAGGAGTCACTAGTTCTTTTTTTTTTTTTTTTTTAATTCACATGCTCTGGTTGATTTGGGGTTAATTACACCATAGGTGAGCGTAGGCGACAATGTCGCCAAGTGTGTGTGGCGGAGAGACGAGGAATGTGTGCTTTAATCTGACTTTCAAACAAGCCACTTCTCCCTGTTTCACCTGCAAGGGAAGCGGCTAGAGATCTTGGATCTTGGACATTTACTTTCTGATTCTCTGAGTCTGGGTAGCTGCTGAGACTCCAGTTTCTAACAGCTCCTGGTTATGTCAAAGCTTCTGGTCTTAGGAAGGCAGGATTCGAGGTGCCTTGAAAGTGCCCTGACCTGGGCTCAGTATGATGCTGTGCTTGGTTCTTGTTCATTAGCACTGAACTCAGAGGAACATCGCCACACCATGCCACCATGGTCTACCTACATTCTCATCAGTTCCATCTGCTTTCCTTTACGCAACTCCAGTCAGAATGCATCCTGTGCTAGTTACATGGAGATCTCGTACGAGAGACTTCTGATGGATTATCAGATTCCTACAACTCCCCAAGACTGGTACCATGATTAGTCTGATGTTATAGAGGGTAAGAGTCCACCCTGGAGAAGTTAATCCACACCAGTAAGTACAGAAGGATTCAGAATCCAGTGGGTAGACCAGATGCCAGGCTCTCCAGCATCTGCCTCCTTCCTGAATCGTGTCCCATTCTCTTCCGTTGCTGCATCAGAAGCATCATCCAGGTGACTGCTTTACCCTATGATGCTGATAAAGCTCAGGGTGTTCTTCTATCAAAACTCCAGGGACCTGGGCTGAGGATCCAGCTCAGCGAGTGAATTATCCACTGTGGAAGCGTGAAGACCTGAGCCTGGATGCCTAGGATGCATGAAGAGCCTCATGCATTTGTCTGTAATCACAACACTCCTAAAGCCAGACAGGAGATGTAGACGGAAGAATCTCTGGAACCGGACATGCCAGAAGAACAAGAGGCCCTGCCCCAAGCAAGGTGGAAGGTGGGGACCCACACTCAAGGCTGCCTGCACACACTCTCTGTGGCTCTTGCTCAGCCATGCGAGAATATGCACACACGTGAACATGCACTCATGAATACATTACACATAGAGAGAAGGTGATAAAGAAGCTACGGGGTCACACAAAAAAAAATCCATTTAAAATTCAAATTTCCTGGAATCTCGCCAAGCGGGGAGGGGAGCATTTGATATCAGTACTGAGATTTTGATTTGTTTTCAGGAAGCAATATCAATTTGTAAAAGATAATCAAATGCTTCTCAGGATCCTTGGGCACTGTCACTTCATCATCAGCAGAGTCCCTGCTGTCCTTCCCCGTGAGGATGGCAGACATTCCCTCAAGAACTTTCTGGAAGCCACTATGTGGCCAATTATATTTATGATCTGAGCACAAACTCGCATTATTATTCCACCGGAGAGACCCTAATTCTGTGCAGCTAACGAAAATAACTGTGGTCGGGAGTTAATATATCAAAAAATAATAATAGTAATAATAAATAATATAATAAAATAGTGACTACAAAGCTAGTTTGCACAAAGAATCTGCAAGAGGCTCTGGTGTACACCAACAAGTTTATTCTGCAGAGTCTGATACAACCAACTTGGAGTTCACTGAGTATTGGAACTTGGAGCTGTTTCTCAGGAGAGTCTAATGTACAGTCACAGTTGTGCGTCATGGAAGAGCCCCCCCCCTTTTTTATCTACACTTTGAAGGGGAGGTGAAATGGAATTCAGATGGCCGGTGACCGGTACTTCATGGAAGCTGGGCCTTTCCTGCACTCATGAACATCAGTTAATAGGCCACTGACTTGCTAGCGGCTGAGCTTGCTCTCACTGATACGCTCATGGCATTTAGATGGTTATCACAAGCCCTTGTTCTCAGTTACCACTGTGAGGATGCTATAGCTGTTTAACGAGGTGTGCTGTAGAGCTAATTCAACAATACCTAATTCACCAGGAATACTACCTGTCTGTTAGTACAACTCTCCGTTATCACTGTGACGATTTTATCCAAGTAAAACCGTCTGATTTGACTGTAACCTGTGCATTTTACACGGCTCACTCCATTCAGTGTTGTCTGCAGCACGAGAAAGTATAGAAGCCTGTTCCAACAGGGTGTCCTACGAGCTAGAGGTGGCATTTGCATCCAAGGCCCTCCCAGGCGGGGACACCCTGGACCAGAGCTGGCTCTTGTTTTCTCCCCCGTTTCCGCAGATAAGGTTTAGCCTGAAAAGCAGTTCAACCCAGAGAATAGGACGAGCTTTCTCTTTCCCCTCAGCTGCCTCTTGCTCTTGGCATTTTGGAATGCCAATACTGCCAGGACAGTAACTCGAGCCTCCAAATTAATCAAAACACACAGCGCCCAGTTCAAGCCCTGGCAGAGAAGCCTGGGAGCCAAGCAAGCTCTCCTCTGCTGACCCTAAGGCCACAACTGCTCCATCCACCACCCTTTAGACGCCGCAAAGCTTCTGCTCCCAGGCAGGTGCCTTGGTGTTGGGGCAGTGCCTGCCTGTGGGCGGCTTACCTGGGCGAACAATCCGGCAGACAAGGAACTGCAGGCTAGCAGACAGATTTGATACGCGCCTTACAGTTGCGGCTGGAGGGAATCCACCCGTGACCGTGTTCCTTTCCACTGCCTGTTCAGCGTCAAATCTATGCAGTGGTTGTGAGTTGAAGGCCGTCAGCAGATGTACAGCCGCGGGAGCTACCAGCAAACCTGGCCCCAGAGTCGCAGGCTCCCGCGCGCCTCCAGCTTAATCTGGGCAGGGCTGCTGGCCACTCCCTCCACCCTGTGCAGCCACCTCCCTACCGCACACCCCTAAATTCCTCACGCTGACCCGCACCCGCTAGGCACCAGAGTACCTGGAGCGCAGGGAATCACCTCTTTCACTCTGACCCTGGATCAGCGCCCACCTGCCTGCTCTGAGGGCGCCCAACCCTTTCTCACTTCCTGGGCACGATGCCCGGTTGAAGGGACAGTGCCTGGCGAGCTGGGAGGGGGGGGGACGAGGGCGGGACCTAGGCCACTTCTTCCCTCCCTTAGAGTCACAGTCAAAAGCTTGGGTGAGGACAAGCAGACCGCGGTGGGTCGAGCCCTACAAAACTCGCCCCAGTAGGTCAGCAAGCAAGGCGAGCTTCCCAGCGGTGCCTCCCCAATCTGTGCCCCTAGCGGTACACGGAAGCCTGAAAGTTCGTGGGTCCGGTGGATCCCTGGACACACTGGGATTCAGGACCAACGCCCATCATGCACTCAGAGAGTGCTCCAAGGTTCCAGGCGCTCCTGTTGCCTATCCTGCTGCTGCTCCTGGCCACACCGCCTGTGGTTAGCAAGGTGAGTGACTGAAAGGGCTGAGCGACCCCACCACTGCTTGTACCTATTCCGGGAGGAACAAGCCAGTTCCACCCACTAGGGCTTCTTCGGGTCACTATTTGGAGGGTTGCTCAGCCGCAGACTCCTCCTGAGTTCTGGGATGGCAGTGCACACGGGGTGGGTGGGGGGAAGAAGGGCAGCCCCGGGAAACAGGTGGAATTTGCGGTGCTGGTAGAAGCGAGGAGCCAGCCAGCTTTTCAAGGATCACAGGAATCCCAGCTGGAGGAGAACAGCTTGCAGAGACTGGTAAATGGAGACCAATAGATAGGTTATAGATGGGTGTATAACAGGGAAGGATATAAGGTAACTAATAGATTACAAATATGTTATATAAGATAGGCAGGTGATGATAAATAGAATGATGACAGGTAAATGGATATCGGATGGATGGATAATAGATGAGTTAGGTAATAGATGATGGATGGATGGACAGATCAATGATAACGATGATACTGACCAGGGTACTGGAGGTGTGATGTCAGGCTGATGGATGAATAGGTGGTTTGGTTGGCTCCAAGTGCCCAAGCCTGGTAGGAGGCACCTCCTTGGCGTCTCAACACTGCTCCTTCCTAAACCAGACCTCACCTAGACTCTGACTTCCCGAGAGCTCCGTGTTCCTTCGGCACTCTCTGGAAACAGAAGCCATCACTGGAAAAAAGAATCAAGACCTAGAACTTATATTAGGATGACTTGATTTCTCTTTGGAATTTGGGTGACCTTGTGCTCATTTGAATCTATTCCATAATCCTGGTTCTTTACCACTAAAGATAAAATCTCTCAAAACTGTGAGACTTGTTTTGGCTTGATTTTAACTTGTGAAACAGGAATTAACTTTTCAGATGCTTGATGTTATTTTTATATTTAAAAGTTAATTTGGGTACAGTAAGTTTTGTTTCCTATGATGAACAGGTGTCTTAAGTCTTACATGACCGAGAGCGATTGTAGATGGTCCCAGAGCGACTTATGTGTTACCTGAGAACACATTAAGGGCCTATGACTGCATATAATTCAATTGTTTTCATTCCACTTACATTCTAAGTGAGGCATTGCAGGCATCGCAGCAAAGCTAACACTCCTCTAGATTTCCATTTTCCAACAAATATCCAGACCCACATTTTCTGTGGTATTTATTTCCAGTATTTGTGTGCTTACATACACAGCTGCAAACTGTGGCAAACTAGATCTTGTAGACCAGGCTGGCCTCGAAATCACAGAGATCCACCTGCCTCTGCCTCCCGAGTGCTGGGATTAAAGGTGTGCGCCACCACTGCCCGGCAATAGTTGTGTTTCTAACAGAACCGTTTCCAGGCTTTAAATGTGTCCTTTTGTAACCTATACATCTGTCTGTACCTGAGGTAAAGATCTACATCATTTTACCTTTCCACTGTGCTGCATAGTATTTAACAATGTGCTAAAGTTAATTGACCTGGCCTCCCACCATTCAGTCACATGAAGGTGACTTAGCACTTCTGTACCTGCATTCTCAAAGCAGCTCTAACAATAGCACATTTTTCAAGGTTAGTGAGATGACTCAGTGTATAAAAACTGACAACAAAATTTCAATTCCCAACAGCATAAGAGAACCAAAAGCTGGTTCTCTTACTGGGTCCTCTCCCTGCCCTCTCCACCATGAATAAATGAATAAATAAATAAATAAATAAATAAATAAATAAATAAATAGCAAACCAAGACTGGCTAAGCTAGGTGGCTAACTGCTGCTGGGTAGGATAGCTACAGCTTGTGCAAACCGGTGCGGACTATCTAAGAGCTTTAGCAGAAACCAGTTCTTTGGGACAGTCTAAAGGAAGTGCATGCTATACAGAGGCCTGGGAACTCTCCAGAGCAGTAAGAATAACAATCTTTCTGGACTGAGAAGAAAAACAGCGAGAGTGTGAAGGGACATGGGCCCCTTGGAAGAAACACCCTTGAAAGGTGGGGCCCTGGGACAGGAAAGACGGCTCAATGTTTAAGAGCAGTTGTTGCTCGTGCACAGGATCTGGGTTCGATTCCCACTCAGAGGTTTACAACCGACTGTAACTCAAGTCCCAGGAGATCCATTGTTCTCTTCTGGCCTCCATGGATAGCAAGCTCACACACAGCCAAATGCATGCAGAGAGAGCACACATAAAATAAAATGAGAAAATCTAATTGTTAAAATGTGGTGCTCTGTGACCATAGATCCTCCAGGTATATACCGTGTGCAGTTATGTTGTGATATTCTCTTGCATTTTACATGTGAAATAATTTTTGTTTGGAGTTTAAGAACATCAAAACATTGCAATTCAAGTTAAAAACTATCACAGTGAATCCATCTTTTGTGTTTCTATTGAAGTCTGAGGTGAGCCTTTGTTAAAAGCATTCAAAGCTGTTGCTTCCATTGCAACTGCTGAAGGAGAGAGAAGAGGTGCCCCTGAGATTATAAAATAGCCTCTCCTATGGTAAAGAAAAGTGATCTCAAGTTAACTGATACCTGGATGAGGTGACATGTGCCAACGTGACTGAACCCACAAGCCAACTGTGACCTTGAGCAGGACAGGACGCTACTCTAAATCTCAGTCTTTACATCTGTGATGTGGCAGTGGGGGAGGAGATGCTCTTTAAGCCCATCTGACTGTTGACCTGATGTGCCACCATCTTTAGGAGAGAAGTTAAGAATCTCATTTTAATCACAAATGAATTATATCAATATTAGCAACGGATTTAGATTTTACTCAAAACAGAATAGCAAGCAGGAAAAAAAACAAAAACAAACAAAATCATGGTGAGTCAAACACTGTGTAACTGAGAGCTCTATCCAGTCTTTGGGCCAGAATGTGTATAATCTCTGTGCTGTTAGCTGTGGGCAGCATGTGTGTAATCTCTGTGCTGTTAGCTGTGGGCAGCATGTGTGTAATCTCTGTGCTGTTAGCTGTGGGCGGCATGTGTGTAATCTCTGTGCTGTTAGCTGTGGGCAGTATGTGTGTAATCTCTGTGCTGTTAGCTGTGGGCGGCATGTATGTGATCATCTCTGTGCTATGTTAGCTGAGTGCTGGCTTGTGCATAATCTCTGTGCTGTTAGCTGAGGTCTCCAGTTGTACTTTAGCACTTCCTCAAACAGGAAGCCAGCAGCAGTGCTGACCCTGCATGCCCTGCCTCTCTCAGCCAAGGTGAAACAGCCTGCCCACACAGTTTGTCCCCAAGCACCCAGGGAGAAGGAAGGGCTTTGCTGCTTGGCTGAGAAGCCAGGTGCTCCCTGGCTCTTCACCTTACCTTTAAGCTGACAGCTAGCTGTCTTCTGGCCAGTTCACCCATTTTAAACAAGTAACCCCAGGCCAGGCAATAGGTGAGGAATGTATGTCCATCTCTGCTCCCTGGATAATGCAAAGTCTCCAGCTAAATTAGCATAGTCTTAAATTCCAGGAAGAAGTGCAGAAACAGCATATGAAGAAGCTTTCTCATCTGAATTCATTTTCAAAATTGAAAACTTCAGTTGGATTAGTTAGCACTTCAAACAAACAAAAAGCACAAATTTATATATCCGGAGGCTAAGCAAATATTAATAAATAAATATTAATAAAATAAAAATATCAAATTCCCCGTGTTAGGGGGAAAAATACAAAATGTCCTAATACTTAACTACTTGACTTTCTTCCAGTCCAGGAGATCTGTGTACGTCATTCTCATGAAAGATTTTGTGTTTATACTCCACACAAGTGAGTGGTGTGTGTGTTTGTGTGTGTGTGTTTGTGTGTGTGTGTGTGGTCCCCTTAAGAACAAATATTACTGTTTGTGGTTTTTCAAATGTAATAGGTTCATATTGTACACTTACTTTCTTTAATCATTGACTATTATGTCATTGGATTTCATCCATCTTGACATACATTTTTTGTAGAAATACCTGTTTTATAGCATTCTGTAATATAAAGCAGCTGATTTTTTTTTTGTGGTCCCTTCCTCAACAACCTAAGCCTTTCTTCACAGTTTCATTTTACAAAGTTGCAATGCACGCCTCTCTACGTGTAACATAGTGACAGCTAGAACTTGAACTGCTGGGTGCTCATAGCAAACTCGGTATTGATACATCAATCTACAATGAAGCCACATTTAGTTTACCCTTTCCCTTCATCGGCTGTAAAAGTTGGTGTGCTTGGATGTTAAAAAGCATGAAGAGAGACCTTGCTTTAATTAGTATTCTTCATACTTGCTCGCCCCTCTATACTTCCCTCACCGTGAATTTTGTGGACCACTTTCTGCTTGTTCATCTACTACAAACTTTGACTCTCTTCTGCTAAATATTCAGAAGCGATGGATATTTGGATATCAAGTTTGTGCTCTTTTAACAGGTTACAGGAAGGTTACCCTCATCTTTGGCTTACCTTTTCATTTAGTTCTTGGTGTCTTAATGAACAACACTTCATCTAACATAACGTCAAGGTTACCCATGGAGCTTTAGCATTTTGTTTTCTGCACCTTGTCAAAGAAATTCTTCCTCGGGATTATAAAAACATCACTCAATATTCCTTCAAAAAAAAAAAAGAGTTACAGTTTAAATTCTCTATCTTGACTTTTCTTCAGCTTATAGTGTATGAATTCATTTTTACCTGTACGGATAAGGAATTATCCTGTATTCTTTCAGTAGAGCATGTTTGCTTTGCTTTGCAGTTACATCTGTAAACATGCAAAGTGTCCACTGATCCTTTGTGCTGTTTTCTTTTGTTTTATTCTCTATGGCCACTTTCTTTGTTTTCAAACTACATCTTCTAGAGTGAGCCCCAAGCAGAGCAATCATGCGTGCTGTTATTATTTCCTTTAAAATTGCCACTGCCTGTCCTCTAGGCCCCTCTCGCTAAGGTCTGGCATCCACTTGTCAAAGTTCTATCGAAAATCCCTGTTGGATGCTGATATGCATCCCATGTAGCATATAGGTCATGCTGCTGCATGAACAGGTGCCTGTCTCATACAGATGCTACCGATTGTGAAAC